TGTTTTCAAGGAATCTGTTAATTTCTTTTAAGTTATCACATTTTATAGACCTAGATTTGTTCATAGTATTCTTTTGCGGTTTTAACTAGAAATTTTCAACCTCAGTACTGTTGATACTTGGGGCAGAAACTTGCTGGGAGGGACTGGCCTGTGCCTTGTAGGTCTGGCCGCATCCTTGGCCTCTATCCACTGATACTCCCCAATTGTTAACAACCATAAGTGTTTCTAGACATTGTCAGATGTTCCTTGGGGACAGTCATCTCTGGTTGAGACCCATTGTTTTAATGTCTGTAGGATCCTTACTGATCTTTCATTCTAAATACTGGTAATTTGTCTCTTTATTTTTCAAATTAGCTTCATTAGGAACTTTGTAGGGTGTACAAAAGCAGTTCTGTGCCCCATATTTAGCCCATGGATCATTTTGCTGATGTTGACTTAGATCATTGATTAATGCTTCTTTTCTAAAAGACACTGAAAAGCTTTACATTTTTCCTCTAAGAATACTTAATCTGTATCTCATAAATTTTGAAAAGCTGTGTCATGTTTTTGGATATTAGCCAATTAATGGCTACGGAGAGTATTGTTTATTTATGGAGATAACATGAGCATTACATATGAGTGATAACATATGAGTGTTATTCTGCAAAACTACTTACACTTGGACTTTTGGTTCTGTGAGAGACAAGCAATGAGAATAATATTAATGTAACTATATGATAAAATCCAGTCACATAAATACACTCTCCCAAGTAATTAATAAATTGATACAAATGTCTGCAATCTGGGAGTAATATTCTTTTTTCTCTTCTAGCTAAGAAAAGCATCTGCAACATCTAGAACATTTCCCAGGATGAGAAAATTACAATGAGTTTACTGCACCTTATGGAGTATTGATTTGCTGCCATCTGCTGGGAGGCAGAACTGGTTTCCCAGCGTCCGTACAGGGTGAGAATGATGACCCTTGAAGTTGAAAATTTTGCCTATCTCATAAAGTGAAACATAATATAGGTACTTTGGACCTGAAAGAAATCAATAATTTCAGAATAAATTAACTGTATATAAAGAAAATATGATCTGTATCTAAAAATGGGAGTACATTGTTTGCGATCTAAAATAAATTAGATGGCATATTTGTACAAGAAATTTCCTTAAAACAGTGAACTCCTTAGGTACTGATTGTGTATTTGTGTAAAGATAATTAACCACTTGACTGGGGCTAATGAGAGATTTAAGAACTACAGAACCACTACCAAAAGAAGATGGGCAAAAAATATTACTAAATCTAACACAATGACTACGATAAGCAGAACAGCCCCTCAAAGATGCCCATGCCCTAGTTCCCAGAGCGCAGAACCCAGAGCCACAGAGGATTGTTCCTTCTTGGAGAAACTTTGTGGAGACTGTCTGATTGGATTTTGAAAGTGTTTGTCCCTGGTGACTTTTTTTCCTCACATTTGCTCCCTTTTTGAATGGGAATGACTGTAACTGCTATCCTATGCCTGGTTACTGTGGGAACACAGGACTTGTTCTCTAGTTACACAGGTCTACAGATGGAAAAGGATTTTGCCCCAGAACTAAAGGATTTAATCCCCAGTCTAATACAAGAGATTAGACTCAGAGCCTCATTTATACGTAATTTAGATTTAGATGATGAGACTTGGGTTTTTCGAGATTTAGATGAGATGCTGTAATGTATTGAGAATTCAGGGACTTTGGGAGGGGACAAATGGATTTTACATGTGAACAGACATGAATCTTTGCAGAGGCAGAGAGTGGTCTGTGGTGGGCAGAATGGCTCCTTCCAAAGATGTCCATACTCTCATCACCAGAATCTGTGAATACTGTAATTTATGAGGATAGAGGGAGCTTGCAGAGGTGATTAAGGTTAAAAACGTTGAGATGGGAGATTATCTTGGATTATCTGGGTAGGCCCAATTTAATCACACAAATCCTTAAAAGCAGAATCTTGCTTTTAAGCATCATTAAAAGAATGATGCCACAAGCCGAGGAGTGTAAGTGGCCTTGAGAAGCAGAAAAATGCAAAGCAACAGATTTGCTCCTAGAGCCTTCAGAAAGGAATACAGCCACCTGATATCCTCACATTTTACCCCAGTGAAACCTGCATTGAACTTCAGACCTACAGAACAATAACATAATGAACTTGTGTTCTTTTAAACCATTAAGTTTGTGAACTTTACCACAGCAATACAAAACAAATATGATAATGGTGACAGCTGGCAGTCACTGTTCTAGCCCTACAGCAGTGCTTCCCAGATGGTAACTCCCTTAAGAAAGCTAAAACACTTCTGAAAGCTTTTTACATCATCTGGCCTGGGCTGTCTCTCGAACCTCATCTCCTACGCCTCTCCCTGTTGATACCCATAATCCATTGACTCTGGTCTCCTTTGTTATTCTTTACACATGACAAGCGCTCCCCTTGTTAGTGTGCACTTTCTTCAGATACCCACAATTCTTTCACTTCCTGCAGGTCTCTGATCAAATGTCACCTTCTCAGTGAGGCCATTTTTCTTCTCTTCATATAATATAGTATATACCTGTCCTTACCTGGCACTCCCTAATCTCTAAACCCTAGTTATTATTCTACATGGCATCTATTATTTAATATATTGGCATATTTACTGTGTCCTTTCTTGCTTTCCAAATGGCAGCTCTGTGGGTAGGGGCTTTATTTGTATTGATAACAGCTCTATCTCCAGAACCTAGTGCCTGGCACAAAGAAATATTTGCAGGAATGAACATTTAAAAAACTACTGACAAGATTAAAATTATTCATTAATGTTATTAAAATTCTAATGCTATTTACAGCACAGAGCAGGGATCCTTAGATGATACACATTAACCTAACTTTGGTGGGTAAATGGTTTTAGTATAGATTCAGTATCATGCCTTTAATACTGAAGTCATTTCTCAAGTGACTACCTACAGCTCTTAGACATGGTACACCATTTAAGGTCAGTTGTAAGAAAACTAGTTTATAAATAGGGATTTTGTATTTTCTTATAAATGATCACAACCAGTATTTTTTTTTTAAAAGATTGGTAGCTACAATTTTTCTCCCTCACGTTTCATTTTGAAAAATTCCAAACCTATGAAAAGTTGAAAGAATAGTCTATTTACATACTATTCACCTAGAATAATTAACATAGTGCCTACTTTTCTCTCTACAAATCCTTTTTTTTGGCCTGGATTATCTGAATTAAGTTTGCATGTATCATGACCTCACCCCTAAATAGTTGAGCATGCATCTCCTAAGAACAAAAGCATTTTTCTAATAATCACAGTATCATACCTGAGAAATTTAAGTCAACAATATATTACACTTCCAGGGTCTAATTTCAATGGTCCACAAAGATGCCCTGTGTGACCTTTTAAAAATTTGTAATTCTATCCAGTTCACAGTTGCCTTTAATACAGATTAGTCTTTTTTTTACTGTCTTTCATGATATTGACATTGAAAAGTCCAAACAAATCACATTCTGAATTTACTTCCTAAGTCGGGCTAAACGCTTTTTGGCAAAAACGCTACACAGGTGTACTTCCAATTACCTGACAGCAACAGGTTTGTGTATGCTAATACTAGAGGTTTCCTAAGGTAATGCAAACTCAGATTTCATAAAATTTAACACCAAAAAAACCCCACAGAACATGGTACAGGTGAGCAGCCCCAAGCTTAAAGAAAGAACTTCTCCTGAGGGCTACCCTTATTTTATTTACTGTATTCAGGAGCTAAGATTTGAAATCCGTTATGACCGCTTCCACGTTATTTCCACTAGAAAAGAAAAGAAGTTCTTCATTTAGACATGTGTAATTTTCTGTAATTATTCTTGGACTCTTACAATTACTCTGGAGTAAAACAGGTTGTCTGTTAGTCTAGATAGTAATAATAAAGACGCTGAAGACCAATGACTCATTTTTTATTCCATTTTATAAAAATCAACCTATATCAAGTAGTTGAGTAAGGCCTAACGCCTCACAAATGTATGCAATTATGCAAATCATATGCGGGGAATGGGGTATTGGCTCCAGACACTAATTATAATATAGAACCTTTTAGGACCATTTCTTTTTGCCATAAATTTGATCCTTGCTATTTATTGCTTATTGATGTTGTCTTCATTATATTACAGCAAACATTTGGGGGACTTGTTTTCCCTGAAAATCCTAGAATTTAGATTAAAACTCAGATTTTATAATTTATATGATCTAACGGGTTCTCAAAAAATTAGCACTCCATCCCGCAGAGGCAGCAAACATTAAGCAAGTTCTTTTTCCTCTTCATTTCAGGAGAGGTAACTTTCTGAGCGCGCGGGGTCCTTTCTTTTGGTGCAAAAGTTATAGTTCAATATGAATAACTTTTAAGCGAAAAAACTACGGATCTCTTTAAAACACGCCATGGTTTAAAAACTTGAGCTGAAAAATATTCCGCTGAAGTATTAAGTATTTATTCCAACAGGCTGGATATTTCTTTGCGGAGTTTGAGTCGCCTTATTTCGCCAGTGTGTCGAAGGTACCAAGTCTCTCCCTCCTCATACTGTCGGCTTCCAGGCAGTGGAAGGGGGTTGCGCACGCGGGCCGCCGCAGGCTGCGGGGACTGGAGCAGGACGCTGGCTTCGGCTCCCGGGCTCTGCTACGGCCGCAGGGGAGAAACTGCAACCCTCGAGCTTTGGAGACCAAAGACTGTACCGTGGGCCTGATGAAAAGCAATAGCTCTCCCGGAAGGTTGCCGCCGCCCCCAACTTCCCCAATGACGCCTTCACGTACTTGCACCAACCTCCACACTCTGGATTCCCGCGGACACGTCCGCCGGGACCCTGGCCACGCCCCGAGCCGCTGCCCGACCCCCGGCCGCTCCCGGAGCTCCAGGCGCCCGGCAGTGTGGCGCTGCGCCTGCGCGGCGCGGGGAGCGCAGGGCGGGGCGAACCCTGCCCGGCGGAAGGGGCGGGGCGGGGCTGCACTTCCGTGGCCTTAGGAGGGTGAGTGTTCGCCGGGGGTTGTGCGCGGCGGCCGGATCCTGGCTTGGGCTCCTGCCTCTGGCCGCCGGGGGACCCCACCCCGGCGTCGGGGGCGCCCCCTGGAGGATCTGGGGTGCGAGAAGGAAAAAGAATATTAAATTGGATTGTTGAGGGGTGCGGGATATGTGTGGACAGGCGGGTGTCGACAAAATGAGCTCGAAGGGAAGGTTCGTTGTTTGTTTATTCCTTAAAAAGGAAATGCTCTGTAAACAGTGTTCAAAAATTTTTATCATTTTCTGCGGGTTTGTGAGCTTAGGCGATGTGCTACAGAAAGGCAGTTTGGTAAGGTGGCTTGTACTTTGCCGCTGCCACCGGCGAATGGTTAACCCGAAGGTGGGTCTGGGGAGGGCGGCAGTCCAAGGCAGCTACAGTTCAAACCGAAGGTCACAGACGGCGTCTAGGTTGTCACAGACTTTAGCCCGGCCGTGGGCTAAGTCATCCAGCAGACATACCGTGGTCAGGTAATTTGTATTTCATGAGGAAATGAAAGACAACCTAAGCCAAAATGGCATGATAAAATTTCTTACTACCTTTCTTACTAGTTGTGCCCTAATACATATACTTAGGAAAATAGACTACTATAGCTTTTCCAAGTTGGTAGAAAACCCTAAAGTTTTCCAAAGACAGGCAAATTTTTACTCATTTTGGGGTCATGTACAATGTCTGGAATGTTCTTTTGTGTAGTAAATACCTCATAATGTTCTGTGTGCAAGGTAGTAAGACAGGAACAGTTCAGTTCTTCTAAAGGGCTGTATTCGATTAGGAGAGACAAATGTTAAAAGTTATGTAAGCATAAGAAATGTAAATCATGGTTTGAGACATTTGAAGATGTTTAAAGAAAAGATATTAGGCATGGAAAGTGCTGGTGAGTGCTGGAAATATTTGCTGCTGAGCTGATTGTTGCTACATGGGCGTGTGGGTCTCTTATACCCAGATCTACTTTTCTGCAACACAGGCCAAAATCTGTATTTGTGTGATTTAAAAAAATTTTTAATGTAATTTGCAACCATTCCATGTATTTGTTCACGTGCCTTCTATGGGCCAGGAGCAGCCAGGTTGTGACTTCTGCACATTATCACCCAAGTGTTGAGAAATAAGAATCAAAAGAAAAAAAAATTCCTGGAACTCGTGATAGGCAAGAAAAGACTTAAAACTGGGATGTGAACTGGGTGGGATTGGAGAGGTGTCATAGAGTGGGAAGGAATAAAATCTCTGTTGGGACAGTAAGCCGCAGGTTTGGAAGATAATGAGAAGTCGTCCGAGAAGGCAGGTGCAGTAAATGGAAGAAAACTAGTTTGGGCAACCGTGTAATGCCAGACTCAACATTTTCCTAGGGCAGTGGTTCTCAAACTGGAGTATACATCGGAATCATCTGGAAGGCTACTGAAAAGAGATTGCTGACCCCCACCTCCAGAGTTTCTGATTCAGGTCTGGGGTGGAGCCTGACACTTTCTTGTCAGTTCTCAGTTGATGCTGATGTTACTGGTCTGCAGACCACACTTAGAACCACTGTCCGAGGGTGGTACTATTGGGCAACTATTGGAAGCATTTGAGGTGGATAGTAAGGAGATCATATTCTCAGTCAGTATGAGCCTGCTGTAAAGTCCAAGAAGACTGGGGAGGGAGAGAAAGAAGAGGAAGGTTCCTGACAGTTAATTAGCATCTGCTTGATGTCAGGCCTTCTGCTAGGCTCTCTCATGCACACTATTTCATGATCACTGTGACCCTGAGTGTAGGTCTCAGTATTTTCATATAGAGGGCAGAGAATGCCCAGGTCCTGTAGGTGGTCTTAGAGCTTCCTAAGACTAGTTCACATTTGACTAGGCTGGCAGCAGTGGAAAAGAATCAAACATTTAATGGTGAAGGGATTTAGAAAAACAAAGACTTTTCAAGCAGACTGAAACTTAAAAGTAGAAACGGAGAAATCTGAATCTTAACTGGAGAAATGGTAAAAGGTAAAGTGGACAGAGAACTTTAGAACAGTCCCTTAATGAATTCACTATATGTTCAGTATACTCTTATATAACAATAACCTGTTTAAAAAGTCATACCAGAATTTCCTGAAATTATTTGAGAAGGAGAAAGTAAAGCCTTACGTGAGTGTGGTGAGAGATGGTAAAGATTATGGTATCTGACAGTTTATCTTCAAAATCAAAAGTGATTAGACTTGAGAAATGGTAACACATGGTATAATACTGCATTGCCTCTATGAACTGTCCTGCTCTGCAGACACTGACTGAATATATTGATTTTGGAAATCCTGTATGTGTTTTCTTGCCCGAGTAGTCATTAAAATTGAGAATAGTCATTGGATCAATTTCAAGGCAAATATCCCACATCAGACTGGTTGCTGCTGAACAAATTTTTAATGAAGGAAAACATCCATATATTGAAATCAGACTTTCAAAAGAAAGTCCTTAAATGTATATATTTACTGTAAAATCTATAAAAATGTATGTTTCCAAACATTGATTAACAGAGTAATCAGCCTAATGGAGTTATTGACCCATACAGAAATAGAGCGTCCATCCATTCATTTACTCTGTGAGCAATAAACTATGCTGTGGATGCAAAGATAACTACAGTCTAAGAAAGACTTGCATTTAAAAAAATGATTACAAAACAATGTGATCAGCATTATAATAGAGGGATGTGACCAGTACCTGATGATAAGAGATAGGAAGGACAACTGAAGGGGCATGGAAAGGAGGCCAGGAAATTGTTTAGAGAAGACACTTAAGTTGATTCTTGAAGGCCGAGGAGGAATTTGTGAGATGATTCAAGGAGAGAAGAGCAGTCCACTCAGAAGGAACATCATGGACAATGGCCATGATGTATAAAAGTGTGGCATTTTCCAGGGCCAGTGTGCGGCATTTTCCAGGGCCAGTGTGCAGGTCAGAATAGTTACATCGGTGTGGTATAAGTGGAGGAGGGGAATAAGTTAAATTGGATTGGTGGACAAGAACACTCATAAAGGGTATGAAATATTTATTTGATGACTTTTGGCTCAATTGTAAACTTCGTGATGTTAGGAGCTATGTTAGACCCATATACCGGGTGTATTCAAGGCCTAGCATGGTGCCTAGTGTATGGTAGGTTCTCAGTAAATAGTTGCTAAATGAAAGAACGGCTAAATCACAGAAAAACTTTTTTTTAAACAGATAAGGCATAAGGCATGTAAGTAGTGTATGCAGAATAATAATACAGTAAGATTTACATTGATGATGCCAAGTGGTAGTATGGAAGTTGAATTAATGGCTTCGGAATGGCTATAGTAGATTGGAGTTCTTCAGACTTAAAGTTGTGTCCGTTGGTAGGTTGCAGTCAGCATTAAAAAAAAGAAAACTTAAAAAAAACTAGAAAAGAGAGTATTAGAGCATATCACATGCAATAGGGGTAAGTAAGGTTTTGTGAAACTTCTTTTTCAGTTGTATGCCTGTGTGTTGACTGATGTAAGTGCATTTCTTCCTGTGGACTGCAATCCAAGCTTAAAAGCAGTTATAGTAGAGAAATGTGGGAGTGAGGGTAGAGAGGAAGGAATGTATCTAAAAGGTATTTTGGAGGAAAACAAATGTGAGTCTAAAAATGCAGCTGTCTATGTGAGCCTTCTTGCAGGAGAGGGGATGCATTTATCAACCCATTTCAGGGTTTTGCCCACTTGATGTTTTTCATTGAATATTATAAATTGACAGTCTGGTTTATTAAGAATGCTAGTGCTTTGAGGAATCTTACAGAATGTCATAAATGCTGCAGTTGCTTTTGTTTATGCTGCAGAATCACTCTTGTGTTTTGGTAGCGTGCAGCCCAAAATTGTAGGATGAAACCAGATTCTCAGGAATCGTGAAAATTCACTGAAACAATTTGCTTTGATTATTGGTGAAGTTCTTTGATTTATTTCCATAAGAAAGCAGGAGAAGATGCTTAGTTACCCGAGCAGTGGGAGTCCTCCCTACCGTCATGATTTTGCCACGTTAGTAGACTCAGTCTCTTGTGACATAGGGGTAGAAAATGCTCATATACGGCTGAGTTATATTGGCTTTTAAAAAATTTATGGACTCCTTTAAAATCTGGTTGATTGGTTAAATTAATAGGTTGCACTATGTTAATGGACTTTCAGGTGTGAATTACTCTCTGCAGAACAAAAAATATTTAAAAAAACATTTAAAATTAGGTCGTTCTGTTACCTAATGCATAATCGGAATCTCCTCTTGATAAGGTTTGCACAGAAAATGTAAACTAATTTTTCAGTTTGGCCTAAGAAAAAAAGAAAAACAAAATGAAGATGAACAGTCTGCCATAATCATTCCATATTTAAATGTAGAGGTTTATTTGGTGTTCCCTTGATGTGACACGACACTACTTTTATACAACAGTCTGGAGTTGACACCATATAGACCTGGATTTATGAAACCCATAGTTTTTCCCTAGGTCTGCCACTAGTTGCGAGGCCTTGGTCATTCAACCTAACCTTACTGAGCCTCCTCTGTAAAGTAGAATCTCATCTACAGCTCTGAGGCTTAGCTGAGGAAGTGCATGCACACTGTCTCACACAATAAGCATTCAATAAAAGGAAGCAGCTGCTGTGTGCCATTCACATGGCCCAGAGGGCTTGGGGGCCACCAAGAAAATCAGCCCCTGGGGAGAGATTGGAAGGTGTAAAAACCTAGAATTACGTTTTGGCGAAAGAATAGAGTAATATGGCATCATCCCTTTCCTGGCTCTTTCTTTTCACTTAAAGACCTTTTGAGATTTGTATTGGCATCAAAGGGTAGAGAACTTCACAATCCCAAATTGTGATAAACTTTGCAATATAAACTGTAAGCTTGTCAGATAGTTGCATGGATTTTCTCAGAAAGACTGCAATTAAATTGTAAGAAATCACTAGTCTAAATGTTAGAGCAATCTATATACTACTTATTAGACAATTTTTAATCATCTCATTTTTATAGGGTATGGCACTGCTTACATTATTATAAGTGGATATATTTTCATTTAGTAAAGCTTTTGTTACTGGGTTTTGATTCCTTACAAATTTAATCCTTCTGTTTTTTTGTTTTGGAAGATTAATTATATATCAAACATGCCTTGATTCAAAACCAGGGAACTTAGACATTAGAATTTTTTAATAAAAATTCTCAACTCACACAGATTAAGATGTTACTCAAACTTTTCTTTCTAGTATACTAGATCAATATTACACAGATAGAGTGTCCATTCATGAACCTTAAAATAATTAACAGGCTTCCATGTGCCAAGCACTGTGCTAGATTGAAAGGAAGTGAAGAATAAGATATTGTCCTTTCTCTGAGGGGATCTTCAGATGGGGTGAGGGATGAGAATTGGTGGGGAGGGGTCTATAAATAGGTAAATTAAAAAACAGGAGGCCAAATACTCTCTCTGAGATGTGAATAAAAGGCAGTGGGACATTGCAAATAGAACAAATTGACTGCCTGGGAAAGGTAGGGCAAGATGTGTCCTTGAAGAAGTGATATTTGAATTGAGTAGGAATTTGGTAAAAAAGTGAAAGATTCATTCTGGACACCTTATTTTATCATAGCATATAGATGATTTTTACAAACACTGTCAGAAATGGCTAGTAGCCCATGTACATCACATTATTTTGGAGTACTGTTGAACTTCAAATCTTAATAGGATGATTCTGATAGAATCTCTACATAGAATTGTAGCTGAAATATGATTATTACTTTTTTCACCTTGCACATAATTCTTTTTACCAGGTTTTGATTATATAAGCTAATTGTATGTCTAATTTAGAAATTGACATATAAATATACATTGAATATAATACCGATGGTCACAATAACTTTAAATAAAGGACTCATTAAGTTTGATTCTCATATTATGAAGAAATCTGAATGCAGAAGGAAACAAGTTATAGGTTATGGCAAAGATAAAAATTAAGCCATGAATTGGATATGTATCATTCAGATTATGAAGAGTTCCAAATTTTATCTTTAAAAATATTTTCTAATCTTAGCAATAGTGTTAATTGTCTTTTGCTGCTATAGCAAATTACCAGGAACTTAGTATCTTAAAACAACACACATTTGTTATCTTGTAGTTCTGTAGGTTAGAAGTGTGATATCAATCTCGCCGGGCTAAAAATCAAGGCGTGAGTAGCACTTTGTACCATTTTAGGGGAGAATCCATTTCCTTGCCTTCCCCACCGTCTCCAGGCTGCCTGCACTCCACGGCGTGTCCACCGTGTGTGGGGGGAGAATCTGCAAAGCCAGCAAGGCGGGGAGCAGGGGGAGTTCTCCTCACCTGATGTCACTCCACACTTCTACCTCCCTCTTTCATTTTCAACGACCTTGGTGATTATATTGGGGCCCCCTGGATAATTTGGGGTAGTCTTTTATTTTAAGGTCAGTGATAAAGTGCCATCTGCAAGTTTAATTCCCCTTTGCTATGTAACATAACATATGCACAGGTTCCAGGAATTAGGACATGGACATCTTTGGGGGACTTTAAGAAGTAACATGCTTCTTATAAAAAAAGATAAATGTGATCAGCCAGTGACATCATACAAGCACCAAAATACCACTCATCCATAGGTCAAGTTAACGCTTTGACATATGTATTCCTTCTGCAGGTGTGTGTGTAAAATTTTACTAAAAATGATGTTACCCTTCATCTCCAGTGACTCTTCTGATAATCTCATTCAGTCTCATGAGTTTAAATAACACCTAAACTCTAAGGATTCTCAAATGTACACCTCTGCTCAGAACTCTTCCTGAGACTGATGAATACTACAGCCTACTCAGGATCCCACCTTGATATTTAGTAGGCATCTTAACCTGAATGTAGCTGAAAGTAAATGGCTGATCTTAACCCCAAACCTCGCCTCTCCCGGTCTTCCCAAGTTTGTTAAAGGGCGACTCCATCTTTGCTGTGGCGCAGGATTCAGGATCTGACTTAACTCCCCTCTCACTGGTCCATGTCATCATCATCTCTCATCTGCATTATTATATTCATCTCTTAGGTGGTCTTCCCATTTTTGTTCTTGCATCCCCATCTGATCCCTTTAAGACAGAAGCCACATCATGCTCTCCTCTGCCTGTGGCTTCCGATCTCACTAAAGTCTCCCCAGTCAACTTTAAGGCCCTAAATCTGACCCCTTCTTTGCCCTTCTCTTTTACACTTCCCCTCTTGCTCATTCAGGTCCAGACACACTGGCCTCCTTATTTATGTCTTGTCTGTCTTCCTTCACCAGGATGTTAGCTTCATGAGGGCAAGAATTTTTGTCCTCTTTTGATCATTGTTGTATTCCTGGTGCCTGATACTGTACACATAGTAAATGCTCAAATATTCATTGAAAGAAAGCTGTTTTATAATCTTATTTCTCTCTCCCTCTTTCTCAGTGTATTATTTTGTTCTTTTTTGGACATAGCTTTGTTTATAACAAGAGGTAGAGTAAGATTTGTTAATTAAAGTTTATGTTTAAAATAGTTCTAATTTTTTCTTAGACTACATATGACATCTCCCCTGTGGGAGAATGGGACTAGGTTTGGTAATAAGAATATTCTGTATCCTGGTCAGCATTTCCTCTCTCTCTCTTCTTTAGCTCCTCTTAATGCTGCTGCCATTGCCACACTTTTTAAATGCTTCTTGTTTACTTTGGGAGGGGGCAAGTTACTAATATCTATTTTCCTTTTAACCAAAGGACTTCTCCTTTATCCTAAAATAATGTATTATGAAAAAATGCCGAGAGGAAAAAGACCTGGGTTTGAGTCCTGGTCCTGCTGCTGGCTAAGACCTTAGTCACCTACCTTACTCTTGGTTTCCCCTTGTGTTAAATGAGAAAAATAATAACTGTCCAGCTGTCCTCATGGAATTGTCTAGAAGTATAAAGTGAAATAAGGTATTTGAAAATAGTTTAAGTGAGTAACAGGCAAGTAGGAAATGAAGTAAGTTAAGATCAGGCAATGAAGTAGGTTTTTCTTTTTTTGAATGCTTTCAGAGTGCCAGGCTCCATGGCGAGCTTTGAGAATCCTAACATGGATGGGGAGGGCTTGAATCTGGCTTCTCTTTTCTGTCCCTTCCTTAATGCCTTGCCTACGTCCAGGTCCTCGTCATCTCCTTTTGGTCTTTGTTTGCTAGTTTCCTGAATAGGCTGTCTGTTAGTGAGGGGGGTGATCACTCTTGACTTCTTGCCATTGTTCTAGTCTTACCTCCTGAAAACCAGAGTTGAGCCTCCATAAAGGTCTCTGTCATTTCTCCATTGCCAACAAGACAAAATTTAGTTCCTTGGCCCCAGTTTACATCCTGGTCCAACGTCATCTCCTATCCTATGTGTGTATGTATATATTTCCCCCTTCCTAGTGATGGTAGTGGTGGTGTTGATGAGCAGTGTGTTTAAGATGATACTGAAGAGAGCTTCCAAAATAGATCCCCTCTGAATTTTTCTGTTTTAATGTTTTTTGTGTGTTCTCTGTGAAGGGTGGTAGAGGATATTTTTTGAATTGTTTTTTTTTTTAGAAACGTCACAAATTTTAAAAATTGGCCCTTTCGAATAAGACTAATCTTCTACAAATTGAAGTCATAATGCCCCCCCAATAGAATAATGATGAGCAGTTACAGTTCTAACAATAAAAAAAATCTTAATTTCTTTTTTCCTAACAGAATGTTACTTAGCTAAAATTAATTTCATGCTGATTGGCCTTGAAATATAATTTAGAGAGGTTTGGAGCAATAAAGTAATTTATTTCATTGTGCTACCAGTACTTGAGAACCAAAATTTTTAAATAATCCTAAATCCAGACTTGGCTCTGTGTATCGTGTGCCTGTGAATTTTAGTTTGCCATTGGACATGAGGTCTGTGATCTTTTTTTTTTTTACTGACTTTTATAAATTGGTTTAATAATAATAATACAAGCTAATGCTTACTGAGCTCCTACTCTGTGCTGGGCAGCGTCCCAAGCTACGTGAATCAACTCACTTCGCTCTCACAGCCATCCTGTGCCCTGACCTGTTCTCTTAAGAAGAAGCTGAGGCACAGAGTGGTTGATTAAGTAATTTGCCCATGGTCATTATAGCCTAAGTGGCAGAGTCAGAGTGGCCGTGGCTCATAACCTCCGTCCTTTCCTGCCTCTCAGTATATACCATGCCAGCATTCACTGTCTAACACAGTTTGAAGCGGAGAATATCAGTAGATCTCAGTAAAGGATCCTCATCTAATTCTTTTATGGTTCAAACTTTCATGTGCTTACCAACGGTGATTCTGATTTGTGGGGCTGGGACTATGCATTTTTAATAAGCATTTACCTTACTTTGAGATACACTGATCTCATGACCATACAGTCCTCCCAGTTCATTTCACAGGAAGGCTTCTTGTAGTTTGTGTGCTTATGTTAGGTCATTCTTTGCAAATATCTCTGCTCCAGGGGGAGTCCATTAAGTACATACCTGTACCTGAACTTAGGCCCCAAGAATCTGTGTTACTAACCACACTTCTCTCAGAGAGAATAAAGAAAAGGCCAGCATCAGAGGGTTTTTTTTTTAACTTCTTGAATGAGCTTCAGAATAGGGTATATTTGAACTGAGAAAGCTGTTAAGATGAATGTAAGATCTCAAGACAGAAGGAAAAAAGCATGACTTAAAATTTCAACCCTAATAGGGATTTTTTTGTGTAGAAGAAAATTTTAATGTATCTTGCACTTCATAATAAAGCAGAAGCCTGTGATTTAGTTACTCTGAATATTAAGTGCAGGCAAGGAGAGAGTCATTTACGTCTGGTAAGAAACTTTCTCCCATTTGTACTACCAGGAACCCTAATTTGTGTGCGTTTTAGAATATAAGGAAAACACTAAGTTTGCAGTTTTACTACTTCATTATTTTTAGTTGTACGGTGAACTGGCAAAAGTATGTTTTTCTTTCTTCTAGGGAGTCTCAAATCACATTGAGCCAAAAAACATCCTGTGTTTTCTCCAGTTACAAACAAAATGAATATTCCCATGCTGCTGCGACATCCTCACCAGCAGTTCCTAAAAGACCTGTTGAGAACACCTTCCCGACGTTACCGTTTCATCTTTCCTGCAAGTACCCACCTCCGATCGGGAATCCCATGTGCTCAGCCATTAAATTCTCTTGGACTCCATTGTACAAAGTGGATGCTGCTATCATGTGGTTTGAAGAGAAAACTGTGTGTACAAGCAACCTTAAAGGACCACACAGAAGGACTTTCTGATAAAGAACAAAGATGTGTGGATAAACTTTATACTGGTTTAACCCAAGGGCAAAGAGCCTGCTTAGCAGAGGCCATAACTCTTATAGAATCAACTCACAACCGGAAGAAAGAGTTAGCCCAGGCGCTTCTTCAGAAGGTGTTAGTCTACCACAGAAAACAAGAACAATTAAATAAAGGAAAACCACTAGCATTTCGAGTGGGTCAGTCTTTTTTTTTTTGTCCAGTAAATATTTTTTAAATTCTCTCTGTTCCCTTAAAATAAGTCTTAAATAGTTTGTAGTCTAATGGGATTATTTTCTTCCTTTCAGAATTTTGGGATGAATTTTAAATGCCCTTTTTTTTTTTGCAAATATCAGTCTTGTTATGTTGGGGGAAATAAAATGTCTGACCATGTGAACCAAGGCTCTGTATTTTAAAAGAACAATGTAAGATTCCTCTTTCGCAAGAATCTTGCCATGGCTCCCCGAGTAGAATGCATAGGAAGAACTACTAACCAGTTAACTCCTTTCTCTCAGTAGTTCTTCTGCTGAATAGTCTAACGTGAATTCCCTGTGGTCATTATCAACTCTAACTGTGAATTTTATAATTTACTTTTTATAAAAGTGAATTTTAGGGTTTCATCAACAATAATTATCCTTAGCGCCTTTCAAATTTCTCCTCAGGTTTTCATTAGTCTTCTGTAGGCCAGTCTCTCTTGTCTCACATGTCTTGTTAGTGTCTGGGAATGGCATGGCTCTAAGCACAGCCACCTCAGTACCAACAGGATTTTCAAGGAGAGACCGTATCTGTTTGCTGTCTAAAAATACTAGCTGTTCACTTGATTTCTTGAAGAATTGACTTCTTTCTGTAATGGCAGATAAGTTTATGTATTTTTGAAATTGTACATTTTAAAACAATTTAGATATGTTTGACCAGCAGGAATTAAGCAACTCAGTTTTGGGTGGAATGTGAGCTTTTGGTGGCAAACAACGTGATTCCAACCAACCCTCCCAACTAAAACCAACTTGAAAGGGAGGAAAAAAAATGCAGAAATGTTGTGAGGAATGAATAAATAAATATACTTAAAAACTGACTGCCATTACAATAGGTTTTATAACTTAGTGTACTTGTGATACAGGGATAAAAACCTAGGGGGTGTAAATGCCTTAAAGATAATTTGGAAGAGAGCTCACAAACCAGTATTTGTAGCAGTCTACATTTCCACACATCTTATTCTTCTGCTTTCACTGAGGGAACTCCGTTTTGAGACTACTATATGTATCTTTATGTATTTTTGACAGACAAAATAGCAACCTCCCAAAGAGAAGACAAAATGTCCCAGAAATACCTGGCATTAACTACCAACTCACAAGTTTGCAATGCTATTCTTCTATGTTGATCTTATGAGGCCAGGTAAACCTGTATTTTTATTGCAGTTACTTTATCACCATCATAAATAAAAGCCACATATGTTTATTAAGCACCCATAAAATGTTTAAGAGACCTGCCCTGAAAATTGTGTTGAGGGGCCAAGTATACCATATGTCATACATGCTTCTGAATATAGTTATAATTAAATGATGCTTATGTTTATTGAACATATATTGATGTATCTTACTTTATGCCATGTGCTGTTTTAAACATACTGCAAATATTAAGTCATCTAATCCTGCAGCAGCCTGAAGAGTTGGGTGTTTATTATGTCCATTTTACTGTAGAGTGTACTCAGGTACAGAATGGTTAAGTAACTTGCCCAAGATACACAGCTCAGAATTGTTAACTTCCTATCTTCCCTTTACTCAGGAACTACATAAGTAAATGGATTTTTGTTTACTGCTTTAGGAAGTGTCAAAATACATTCATGATGATTATAATAAATTAGAAATGGAAGGTAGTCTAATATTTTAATAGAAGTCATCATAGTGCTGATTTTATACATTTCTTTAAATTGGAAGGTCTCTTTCCACTTTAGGATTGTCTGGACCTCCTGGTGCTGGAAAATCAACCTTCATAGAATATTTTGGAAAAATGCTTACTGAGAGAGGGCACAAATTATCTGTGCTAGCTGTGGACCCTTCTTCTTGTACTAGTGGTGGTAAGTATTGCTGATCCTTGAATGACAGAGCCGGGGCTCATAGGGTCTCTGTTACAGTGGGACAGTCGGAGAGTTGGCCGTCAGGTGACTAGTAAGCCCTAGCTATTCGGTCTCACTGAAGGAAGGATGCTCTGGGTGGGAGGTGGAGACCGAGGCTAGTAGTGTGGGACATCAGGCTCTAGAGAGAAGGTTAGCTTGCAGGTAGCCCTGGAGCAGGCCTGGGTCCTGAGGGAATGAGGACAGGTACCAGAAGCTGAAGGTAATCAAAAGTAAGTTGCAGCCTTTTGCCCGGCCTGAGGCTAGGCCCCTCTTACCTTCTGCTGTTTTTCCCGGCTGTCACACACCCTAGGCAGCTCAGGAAATGGGTCCTTACTCATTCCTTCCTTTCCTCAGATTGTTGTAGCATCTCTTATAAGAAACCTTACTGCTCTTTATAACTTGTTACCTGTTTATATTACATGTTCAGTTAAACAGAAATGCTTAGAAGGAACATGTGATATACTGCCTTGCCCCCTGCAGCACTTAGCATAGTGCCTTGTACACAGTGCTCAGCACTTACTTACTGACTTGAGTTTATGCAGTCACTCAAAGTTTAATTTGCAGCTCACCAAAGAGAAAATGAATAAACTTAGCATAAAGCAAACCATGTACATACTCAGGAATGGTTTTTCTTCCCTTACTCTCTATGATTGAAGCTAACATTACAGTGATTCACTTAGCAAGTATTTGAATGCCTACTGTGAGTGAGGCATGGTGCAAGGGAACTGTTGTACAGTGGTGAATAAGACACAGTCCCTTTAGCCGTGTGGAGCTTTATATCTTAAGAGGACACAGACATTAAAATGTAATGTATGTTGTGAAGGGGGAAATACAGGGTGCTTTGTGGAAGTGTTTGGTTTGTGTGCTGTGGGTTTAATGCTAAAAAATAAAGATGATAGAATCCTATTCAGGGGCTTTAGTTTAATAGAAAGGCAGACAACAACTCCTGTACCACTCATGGAGAAATGTTCTGAGAACACTTCCAGTTTGGGATTCACTATAATTAAAAGGCTAACTGTAAAATTAAAGTTATCCTCCCAAGGTTCAAGATTGAATCTACATCAATGTATTATTGTCTTATTTACAGTCTAAGAACTTTGTTAAATGAAAGTACTTAACACAATTATTTTTTTATAGTGGCCTTCATTTTTATATAGGTGAGAAGGCTTTTTTCCCCCCACCTTCTTAATATTCTAGAATACTTACAATGGCCAAATAAAATAACAGCCTGAGGTGATAATAGCAGAAATGGTTATGTAAGATAGTCTGGTTAAAGTTGCATAACTCTGTGGTTCCTAACCTTTCTCAAACCAAAAAGGGGTATCCCTTTCTTAGGTAAAAAAATAGACTTTGAAAGAAAAAAGTACATGATAAACGGGACACTATAAGTATACATTTCTAACTTACTGTTGCAACAGTTCATATATTTGAAAAGTAGCCTGATGTTGAAATTTGAGGAGTGTGGTTTTTTTTTTTGGCACATAGTCAGTCCTTGCTGTGCTGGACTCACAGCCTCCCTGCCCTGAGGCCTCTCTGAAGGCCTGCAACCAGCAGTTTGGGATTCACTGCAAAGACAATTATATGGGAGAGTAATTTCATAATGTTTAGGCAGTGTGTTAGGATCTACGGGATAATAATTTAAAATATGGCTTTGGCAGATTGTTGACTTACACAGAGATTATTTCATGTAGAAAATTACTTTAGGAAAGATTATGTGCAGTAAGGAAGGTAGTGGAGATGTGGTAGGTATGTACTCTAAAATTAGAACCTGGGAGAACTCGAAACTGGAATCATAAGGGAAAAGATATCTTTGAGGATCTTCTCAACGTTTAGCATCAGCTTTATGTGGAAGAGTTACCACTTAGGCAGAGTGAAAATTAAAATTCATGTTGGAACAGCACTACGCTTTCAAGTATTAAAATAAGTTAAAGGTAATTTCAGTAGCTACAGGTCTTTCTGTCTTCTAGAATTTGCAAGTATTGATATTTGCCAGAATACTGCAGTAACCCTTGAAATATTACCAGTTATATTCCATGGTTATTCAATTAATTGCCTCCTGTGAATAATCACTCAGTGTACAAAATATGTAGGGCATATTAATAGGTGGGGAACTTATGTTAAAGTAGGGTTTCTCAGCTTCAGCACTGCTGACATCTGTGTTGTGTGCAGCCGCCCTGACCCTTGAAGGATGCTTTGCAGTATCCGGGGCCTCAACCCATTAGATGCCAGTAGCATTTCACCCCCCTAGTTGTGAAAATTAAAAATATCTCTAGGTTATTGCCAGATTTCCTCTGAGGACAAAATCACCCCAGCTGAGATCCATAAACAACAGTGTTATGATGGCAGTAAACACACCGTAATGGCTGGGATGGAAGGTTGGTTTAGGGCTGAGTGGAGGCTAATACTGGACAGGTAAGGTAGGGATATGTTCAGAGGACCTTCAATGCTGGGCTGAAGAATCTGGATATGAACCTCTAGCCTTTATAGGTTTGAGGGACCTGAAGTGTTAAAAAGATTAATTTGTCATCATTGTATACACTGTGTGGAAGAAAGGCTCAATGATATGAGATAGAATTTAGAGTTTGGGAGAAGTGTAATAAAGCCCTCCCTAGAAATTGGCTGATTGATAATTGGTCCTTATAGGTGTTCCATGATTATAAAGTGTAACTGTGTGTTTTAGGATCACTTCTGGGTGATAAAACCCGAATGACTGAGTTATCAAGAGATATGAATGCCTACATTAGGCCATCTCCTACTAGCGGCACTTTAGGAGGCGTGACAAGGACCACAAATGAAGCTATTCTGTTGTGTGAAGGAGGGGGATATGACGTCATTCTTATTGAAACTGTAGGTGAGTGCTAATTTTTATTTCCTAACAATATAATGCTATTACAATGAATGCTGTATAAAGATGAATGACTACTAATTTCATTTGGTCCATTCAGCAGATGTATTTATTAAAGGCATAATTAAATACAAGACAGTGCAGACTTTACAGGGGATATGAGTACATATAGGCTCCAAACCTTACACTGAAAGAAAAGAAAAATAAGCCATGTGTCTGGATAACTGTAGAGAGGCTGGTGTGTTATAAGTGCCAGAGGAGAACTATAAACATTAGGATGACTGACAGAAACAATACGTTAGCATAACACCTGTTTTGTTTAAGTACACTTCATATGTCTACAATATTTGCTAAGAAAATTAACGTAGTTACGTACCTCTTGAACATGGGGCCATGTTTTATTTCATACCCCTAGCACATAGTTAACACACAACGAAAACACAGAAATGGAAAGCCTGAGAAATTCACACTTCTTGTGGAGAGACGATCTGTTATAGTGCTGTGTGATGAGTGTTTGTGATGCAATCTGACCCAGATTTGGGGGATCAGGAAAGACTTCTGGGAGGGGGTGGCAGCTGAAGGAAGAATTGGAGTTAAATGAAGTATGGTCTCGCAGGCATGTGCCAAGACACAGGGGAGTGAGAGAACAGGGCCTGTTCGGAGAACTGCAGTTTGCTCAGGGTGCTTAGAGCGTGGGTGTGAAAGCAGGGAATGGAGAGACACGGGGCTGGAGACGGAAGCTCTGCTATCCAAGGGTGGATGGAGAAAGAGCTGCCTGAATGGTAGCTGGAGGATCAAGGGAGAAGAGAACATGAAAACCCAAGTGTGGTACCTGGAAGTCACATTTGGTTGCTTGTCCCAGAAACTCAAAATAGTTGTGACCGACATGAGAAAGAGGTTATTTCTTGGTAAATAAAAGACGGCCGGAGGCAGGCTGTCCCGAGCAGACGTGCTGGCTCTACGGTGCCCTCAGTGTCCCAGGCTTCTGTCTCTGCTGTCCACTCTTGGCACTTACTCTCCGCCCTCAAGGTCGCTCGTGGTTAAAAGCTGTGTGATGAAGCTCTAACTGCGCATCGTGTTCCAGGTGGCAGGAAGGAAGCAGGGAAGTAAAAAGGGTAGGCAGAAGAATACACTTCGTGGCTGCGTTAGCCCTCTTTAAAGAACTTTCCTGGAAACCCCATCTAATGAGGTTTGCTTTCACTCATAAAGCATCTCTGGCTGAAAGCGGGTTTGGTGAACGTGGTATTTCACTTGGTATATTGATGCTCCTGGTAACACTGGGGTAAAGAAATAGGAATAAACAGTGGCTGGGCACCTGGAGGGTGCATCACCCCAAGGAAAGAGAGGGTGGAGAGGACTTTTAGTGCAGCAGGGGGTGTGGAAGTCAGATTGAAGAGGATTGAAATTAATGTGAAGAAGTACAGTGAAGACAGCATAATCTGCTCTTTTCTAGAAACTTAGCTATAAAGAGAAAGTGAGAAATATGGTGGTGATAGGAAGTGGTTGTGAGTTCTTAACTTTTTTCTTGTTTGGCTTAGTTTTCAGATGAGAAAGACTTGAGCATGATTCATGTGATGTGCTGAGGGCCTGCAGACAAAAGAGGTTAAAGCTAAAGCAGAGCGAGGGCGCGGAGGAGGAGGGAGGAAGGAGGTTTCTCTTGGGCCTGTACCTCTGCGGTGGGACTGGAGAGGAGGCAGGGAGGCCGAGGGGTACTGGGATATGCCTGTCTGCGGACGGCAGCGGGCAGGGAGGGAGGAGCCGGGAAGGTCTTGCCATTATTTCACTGTGTCGTAGGTGCCACAGTCATCATCATGTCAGGAGATTACGGTGAATGTTTGTAGCAAGACCTGGTGAGAAAAGGGAAGGAGGCCGACAGGGTGTTTGGGGGCATTGCTTTCACCAGGCTTTGAGGAGGTGTAGCAGATGTAGACTGTGACCCTAGAGTAGTGCCTCTCCACACAGTTGAGCACTTTATAGGGTAAGACAGAGGCATTTAATAAATTCAGAGGTGGGGTGTTAAAGTGGGATCAGATTGAATGTGTGAGTGTGAGTACAAGTGAATGAAGTTCAGTGTAGTAGAGAAAGTCAAATTACTGTGAATATTTTAGTATTTAGTTGTGATTTAAAATTTCAGGTGTGGGTCAGTCGGAGTTTGCAGTGGCTGATATGGTTGACATGTTTGTTTTACTGCTACCTCCAGCAGGAGGAGATGAATTGCAGGTAATTATTTTGACTTTTTGTTCCCCAAAACACAAAGTATTCATCTCTGAAAGGAAAAATTTCTAATGTTGTGTTTTCATAAATTAATTGCAATGAGTGTAGGGAAAGAAATATCTTTTACATTGCCTAAAATACTTGAGTCAAAGGCAAATCCTCTATATTTTCCCCCAATTTATAGCAGTAGAATTTATGACATTGAGCTAATCATCAACTTAGATTTTCCCATCCATAACGGGGGAGTGAATGGGGTAGGCAGAAGAGTACACTTCGTGGCTGCGTTAGCCCTCTTTAAAGAACTTTCCTGGAAACCCCATCTAATGAGGTTTGCTTTCACTCATAAAGCATCTCTGGCTGAAAGCTCCAGCCAAAAGAGACCGCTTTTACATGGGCATTTGCAGTATAGTTGGTTCAGAAGTTTCTCCTGAGAGATCAGGATGTTTTTAATTGGGATCTCATTGTCGTTGTTATCTGTGGTAGAATAGGATTCTTACTTTCCTTCTGCAGTGCAGTTCTAGCATTAACGATCTGGGGTTCACAGGGAGGGTATCACCTCCACCAGACTGCCCTCCAGACACCAGCCCCAAGCTTGGGGGCTCTCAGGCCACCCGTGCCTCTCACCACCTGACTACAAATGTAGGGGTCCCCACTGTCCCTCAGGTTCAGTAATTCACTAGAATAACTCAGAGAACTCAGGGAGACACTGTATTACAGTAACAGTTTTATTATGAAGTATGCAAATCAGGACCAGCCAAGTGAAGAGACACACTGGGACAGTTTTTGAGGGGAACCAAACTCAAAGCTTCTGTGTCCTCAGGACACATTCCCCTCCTGGCACATTGATGTGTATCAGCAACCAGGGAGTTCACCTGAGCTGCAGTGTCTGGAGTTTTCATTGGGGTTTCATTATGTGGGCACGACTGGCTGAATCACTGTCCACAGGATTGAATTCGGTCTCCAGCCCTCTCCGTTCCCCAGAGGTCAGGCTGACATCACATGGCTGAAAGCACATGGTTGCTCTTTCTGGTGCGATGAGCCCTCATTTTGAGTGATCTCGTAGCATAAACTCAGGTATGGCCCCAGGTGCCCACGATGAATAACCCAGACACCCCTGTCAATTGGGAAATTCCAAGGATTTAGAGGGTACCTCCCAGGAACCTTGAACGAAGACCAAGCTATTATACAACATTTCCCTTAAAGCTGCATGATTCTAAAAAAGTAGTGACAGCAGACTGGATGCTGCAATTTAGAAACATTAACTGTTAGAATTTAATTATTGACAGTTATGTTTAAACATAACTTGAAAAGAAATTTTAATTTCAGATGGGAAAATCTATATTTTCCAAATAAGACTTTTTGGCTTTAAGATTTCTATTGTTCTTATGCAACATAATTTAAATCAAGAGATTGAGGCATTTTTAGCCATCAGGTTATTTTTCTGCAAACGGAAAACAAAATTTCTGTTAAGGGAAACTTCAAAGACTTCGTTTTTGGAAATGTAGATGTTAGTGTTAGGTGTGTTTTCTTCCAGTCGCATTAATTATGGATGGTTTCGCATCCTGTGGGTTTAGTCCTGAGGGATGGAATCCATCAAGAGACAATGTGAATTGTCTCCTGCCTCTCAGTCACATTGTGTCTTGATGACATATATATTCTGATGCTGAATGTATTTCATCAGGTTAGTCTATAAATTTGGAAGAAATACACAGATGACTTTCATAATCCAAAGAGCCAGGGCTTTTGAGTAATTCTGTTGAGTGACTGCGACTGCTGGTACCCAGGGCTTGAGGAGATGCAGAGAAAAAGTTAATGCAGTGTATGACTTTCAAAACCTCAGCATGGCCAGGGGTCCCAATTTTGCTGTAATGAAGTGTTTCTAATAAATCACTTCTCTTATTTCTCTTTAGGGTATCAAAAGAGGTATAATTGAGATGGCAGATTTGGTAGCTATCACTAAATCTGATGGAGACCTGATCGTACCAGCTCGAAGGATAGAAGCAGAGTACGTGAGCGCACTGAAGCTACTCCGCAGGCGTTCAGAAGTCTGGAGACCGAAGGTTAGCTTGCATTCCTTTCTGTGTTTTTCACCTTGAGTGGACTGTGCACATTAGAAGAGAGGATTTAAGTCCCAAGCTAGACATATAATCAATTTTTGCTTGTATGTGAGATTACAATTTTAAAAATTATGACAAAGTCAGAGTGTGTAGTTATGATTTTCAATATAATCCTTCAACCACAGAATGTCAAAAATTAGATATGAGTTAACATATTAGATTGCTTAATGTTTGACTTGAGCCATTTGGAAGTAAGAGCAAATCTACTCTGAATGGAGCCATCCTTCAGATTATGGAACAATTAATGATTTGATAATCTATATTAGAGTTTGAGTAAGAGAGAAAAGGTTTTTGATGTGATAACTTGCCTTCCCATTATGCTTGTTGGGTACTGTTTTCAATAAGGGATTTAAAAAAATATCCTGTAATAAGCGATGCTATAATATTGATGTGGGCACCTGATCTTCAGGAGGACACTATATTATTAAGGAATAAGCTATAATCACTATAATGAGAACAATGATGACATATCTTACAGTCAGCTCCCAGTCTCCCCCTGTCATGTTATCTCTGTTGGATCTGAAGCTGTCTTGTACGTGTCCAGCTCTTACAACGGGCTGAGTCAAGCAGCTTTGACAGAGGCCATGGGGCTATGTTCTCACCTTTGTTCCATTTGTGGCACTGAGGCCTCGGGGAAGCCTACCTGACATTGTGCTTCACGTCCTCGGAACTCTCCCATTCATCCACACTGCGTTTGAGGACCATCCACACTATCCTAAGTCAAAGTAAATCTCTGGGCTAAAAAAGTGTGACCTAGAATCAGTGTCTTATTTCTGCTATGTGCTCAGTAATCCTAGTAAGGTATCTCAGTATATTTACTTTGACATAGTGATAAAATGCTCCATTTTCACTTGCCTGTTTTCATAAATTTTAAGAATTTGGCAACTACTAGAGTCCCCCATGAAAATGTTTTCTGTCATTTTAAGTAAAATGGTTCTGGTTCCTCCCTTTTCAACAGGTAATTCGTATTTCTGCCAGAAGTGGAGAGGGGATCACGGAAATGTGGGACAAAATGAAAGCATTCCGGGACCTCATGCTTGCCAGTGGGGAGCTGGCCACTAAAAGACAGAAGCAGCAGAAAGTGTGGATGTGGAATCTCATTCAGGAAAGTGTGTTAGAACATTTCAGGACCCATCCCACAGTTCGGGAACAGATTCCTCTTCTGGAGAAAAGGGTTCTCAGTGGGGCTATGTCCCCAGGACTAGCAGCAGACTTGTTGCTGAAAGCTTTTAAAAGCAGAGACTAATGAAAATTATTCAGTATTTACTATATCAGTTCATAAAGTATTTTAACATTAAGAGTCACTTGTGTGCTTATATTTGCAGTAATTCTTTTGTGGTGCCCTTGGCCTCCTTGTTTGTGAACCATGCTTGAAAAGTGAACATTAGATATGGATGGCAAAGGTCAGGCAGTCGGCAGTATTTATAAGGTACCTGTTGTGTGTTACTGACTTCCATTTCTTTCTCTTGTTATACCCTGGCATGGTAGCCTGTAGAACCGTTTCTTCTCATCAGTCATGAGCAGAGAAAATTGAGGAAGACAGAAAAAGATCATGTACCTTAACATTCTTTCTTTGATTCTGTATTCTCAGAGTTTCCAGAGAAAAATATAAGGAAGAGTGACCACAGTTTTGAAATCTTATTTACTTGAGGCCAGAATAATACACAGTGGGTTTCTAAGAGCTGAAAATCATGATTGACATTTAGTGACTATCCAGACTATTCTAGGAATTTCTGAAATGGCCATGCACACAAGTAACAAAACAGTTGGACTGTGTAGGGATGTGAACACAATCTTAAAGTCTACTTGTCTAGACTTGTGAATCTTCCATAATGGGTAGGAGAGCCCAGTGGGAACTGGGGAAATCAGCCACCAATAATGTGAGTCCTTTAATCCCCAAGAATTGGAGTAAACCCCCAAAAGACCCCGAATGAGGTCAGAGCAATTCAAGTGTTACTCAGTTTGAATATTATCAAAGGTTTTTGCTTTTCTTCCTCGACCATTTGCCTTCATATTAGCATCTTAAAAATTGACTTTGTTTTTGTTGGTGAGGAACAAGTTCTGTGCCCAGTGATTAAGAGCTTGGGTTTTGCAGTTGGACTGTGTAGAATTAACTTTAAACTAAGATCAATTGCTTATTAGTGTGTAAGTTTGGACAAATAACCTACCTCTCTAAGTTTCTGTTTCTTCCTTGATGGAATTGACATAATAACTTTATAGAACTGGTGAGGCTTAGTAAAATAACTCTGGGAAATCATTTTGCTCCTGTGACAGTACATAGAAATACTCAGCATCTGCTTGGTATTATTATTATGTTAGAGTTATGGATAGCTGAAGCCATACAAACCTTATATATAAGTTCAGTTTTCTCCCATGGTCTTATTACTACCATTATGTTCTTGTGATAGTTTATGATTGTCTTTAAAGCACATGCTCTAGTTAATTCTTTGAATGTATTTTATACTAGTTGATGGTAGTTATAACTATGTACACTTGCATAAAATTATTTCTAACTGTAAAATTTCTACATCGCACAAAATGTCATCCCAGAAACTTCAAACATCTATTCTGAACCAGTTAGAGTATTTTACACAGTCTGTCAGCTTTCATTGTTATTTACCCTTCTGTGGTACCAGATTTCTTCAGTGTTATTTTAACAAACATCCATGTATGTTTTTATTTTTTGAAGATTTGTGTTATTGGCATACCTACATCAAATAATGAAGGTTAGGAGAAATGTTGAAATGTTATCCAGTCAATTCACCTAATTTCAGAAACCACCCTATCAGATGAAAAACTGTTTTTAAAATCTTCCAGAGAAGGAATGTCATAATTTCCCTTAGTAAGCTATTATAAGGTGTAACAAACCTGTCATTTGTGGTAGAATGGAAGTAACAGTGGAATACATGCACACTGCATTGTAAAGAAGGTAGAGATTGGGTAGCTTTTCCTAGCCCTAAATTTACCTAATGCATTTCTTCTCAGCTTGAACTACTTTTAAATGTTATAAATACAGTCATAAAAAGCATTAGAAAACCCTCCTTGTTCTCCTTATGTAGTTATTATACTATTGGCTGTGATATAGAGGCCAGTTTCTAAGATATTGGCCACCTTTATTTCTGTTATTTGCTATACTGGAAGCTGTATAATATAGTAAAGAATTTGTGGCCTTGAAAGAAAAACCCATTTGGTAAGCTCAAAAATGGCATCCCAGCCCTTGTGATTCTGTCAGACAAGACCTAGTCAAAAGCATAGGTTTTGACTTAGATTCACATAAAGTCAGTCTCAGCTCTGTAACTAGCCATATGATTTGGGGCAAGGTATTTTTCCTCCAATTTCAGTTTTCCTTATCTATAAAACTTGGGTAAGAATAGCTACTTTACAAGGTTGTTGGAATCATTAAATGAGAAATTGTATCTAAAATGCTCACTACTCAGAAGTTGGAAGGTATCGTTAGAAATACTACACATAGACACTCATGACAGCTTTTCATTCTATAAAACAGACTAGTGTCATTTAATATTAGTTGGCCAAACTACCTGATCTCTCTGTGCATCAGTTTCCTTATTATTAAATGGGGTTGACAACAACATCCCCCTAGAGTTGTCAGAAGGACTGTTTTAGTTAATATACATGCAGTACCTGGACATAGTAAGTGCTAAATGAATATTTAACAATAACTAGTCATTACCTCTTAGAGTTGTTGTGAGGATTAAATGAGTTAGTCTCCCTCTATTTTTTTTCTTTAAATTTTTTTACTTTAAAGTATCATTGATATACAATCTTATGAAGGTTTCACATGAACAACATTGTGGTTTCAACATTCACCCATACTACCAAGTCCTCACCACTTCCCATTGCAGTCACTGCCCATTCAGCACAGTAAGATGCTATAGAGTCATTACTTGTCTTCTCCATGCTGTACTGTCTTCCCCTGACCTACCTGTATTGTAAGTGCTAATTATAGTGCCCCTTAATCCCCTTCTCCCTCCTTCCCCACATACCCTTTCCAACCCCTTCCCTTTGGTAACCACTAGTCCCTTCTTGGAGTCTGTGAGTCTGCTGTTGTTTTGTTCCTTCAGTTTTGTTTGTTGTTATACTCCACAAATGAGGGAAATCATTTGGCTTTTGTCTTTCTCTGCCTGGCTCATTTGACTGAGCATAATACCCTCTAGCTCTGTCTATGTTGTTAAAAATGGTAGGATTTGTTTTCTTTCTATGGCTGAGTAATATTCCATTGTGTATATGTATCACATCTTCTTTATCCATTCATCTGTTGATGGATACTTAGGTTACTTCCATATCTTGGCTATTGTAAATAGTTCTGCAATAAACATAGGGGTGCATGTGTCTTTGGAATCTGGGATTTTGTTTTCTTCAGGTAAATTCCTAGGAGTGAAATTCCTGGATCAAATGGTATTTCTGTTACTAGTTTTTTGAGGAACCGCCATACTGCTTTCCACAATGGTTGGACTAGTTTACATTCCCACCACAGTGTAGGAGGGTTCACCTTTCTCCACATCCTCCCCAGCATTTGTTTTCTCCTGTCTTTTGGATGTTGGCCATTCGACCTGGTGTGAGGTGACATCTCACTGTGGTTTTAATTTGTATTTCCCTGATAATTAGCAATGTGGAGCATCTCTTCATGTGGCTGTTGGCCATTTGAATTTCTTCGTTGGAGAATTGTCTGTTTGGATCCTCAGCCCATTTTTTAATTGGGTTATTTGTTTTTTGGGTGTTGAGGCCTGTGAGTTCTTCATGTATTTGGGATGTTAACCCCTTGTCAGATAAGTCATTTACAAATATATTCTCCCATACTGTAGGATGCCTTTTTGTTCTGCTGATGGTGTCCTTTGCTGTACAGAAGCTTTTTAGTTTGATATAATCCCATTTGTTCATTTTTGCTTTTGTTTCCCTTGCCTGAGGGAATGTGTTCAGGAAAAAGTTGCTTGTGCTTCTATTCAAGAGATTTTTGCCTCTGTTTTCCTCTATGAGTTACAGTTTCATGACTTACATTCAGGTCTTTGATCCATTTTTAGTTTACTTTTGTGTATGGAGTTAGACAATCCAGTTTCATTCTCTTACATGTAGCTGTCCAGTTTTGCCAACACCATTTGTTGAAGAAGTTGTCATTTCCCCATTGTATATCCATGGCTCCTTTATCATATATTAATTGGCTATATATATGTGTGTTTATATCTGGGCTCTCTATTCTGTTCCATTGATCTATGGGTCTGTTCGTGTGCCAGTACCAAATCGCCTTGATTACTGTGGCTTTGTAGTAGAGTTTGAAGTTAGGGAGTGTAATTCCCCCAGCTTTATTCTTTCTTCTCAGAATTGCTTAGGCTATCTGAAGTCTCTCTCTATCTTAAAAGGATCATTCTTTTCTGAAAAAGAAAGCTTATAGGTTGACTTTGCTTTTTTTCAAAAGCATAATTATCATTAGTTTCTATAAGTAGGTAAAAATGTGCTATGTTCCAAACTAAGCTCCAAAATTGACATTTTACTTAAACAATACCAAATTTCATTAAAACAACTATAATTACTTACACAGTTTATAGCTGCAGTTAACAATAGCTATCACAGTACAGGTTAGCAAGGAATTTTCTTTTCATCTCTCAGTAATATGGCTATTCAGTGCTTTCTCTAAGCTCTTCTAACTCTTGTAGCTCCCAATTACACTGAAGACAAAAGCTAATAAACAACATATGTATGATAGTCAGTGTTTATATAATTCAACCTTTCATGCAGACAAAAAACCAGGAGAAATGGTTGCCAACAGTTGTCACGCTGCACTCACCTAGTTGACTGCTATCATGGAAGCCGTGATACCGCTGCTAAAAACTAGGAAACTCCAAGGACTTCAGGAAGCAACTCTGGTAATGTATATATTTTTTGCAGACAGTGGAGCTCAGCTGTTCCTGTAGCCTAGGAAATCCATGTGAGCTTCATAAATACAAGTGTTTCCTAAGTTGGCTTTTAGGAAACTTCTCATAAAGTTGAATTCTCATCATCTTCCGTACCACTGGAACTCATGTGGAGTATGAGAATGGTGGTTGGCCCTGCCAGTACTTGCTAGATGTTAGCATTTTTATTCAGATAAGATAAAGAAGATGATGAGCAAGGCAGAATTTTCCTTGAAAAGGAGCAATCTCAAAGAAACTTTAACCTCTCTGTTTTTCTTTCTTTCCACTACAGTATTTTGGTTAGTTGGTTACTAAAGTTACGACCTTTTTTAACCCACTTGACATAAATAGTTTGTGGTAGTTCTGCCCTGTGAGGTTTATATAAGTTCACTTT